GGGGGGGGGGGGGGGTCATTGCCCCTAGCGCTGTCGCTCCTTCGCTGTTCATCTCCATCGTTGATCAGCTGGGATCGCCACCGGTCCCACGCGTCCTCCTCAGCGGTTCCTATGTCGTTCGGAGCCGCCTGCTCGGTCGGATCTTCTCCCGAATGCCATACTCCCAGGTGGGTGTATCTCTTTTTGAGCGCTAGCGCCCGGAGCTCCCACGGGGAGGACGCGGCTAGGGCGGTCGCCGACGCGTGAGACACCGTCCGGTATCCCCTAATGATTCTGATGGCGGTTACCCTGTGTAGCCTTCTCAGGAGCAGGATGCTGCAGCGGCTCGCCATCAGGTCGTCCGCCCATACCGGGGCCCCGTACATCACTCGGGACTGAATGACGCCGTCGTAAAGTCGGCGCACAATGTCTCCCGCCCCACCGATGTTCGGTAGCAGGCCACACAGGGCATTAGCAGCCACCGACACTTTCGGAATCAGGTAGTCGAAGTGTGGTTCGAACGTCCACTGGCTGTCGATGACGAGACCCAGATATTTCATCAGTGATCTGGGGAACTTTTAAGAACGATTCTAATGACCAGACTCAGGCGTTCATTACAAGAGAACGAATGTGCGAAATTAGCAAGGAGGATCATCAGAAGATAAGACAGAAGATAAGGCCTTGTGCCTTTACTGAAATTACGCGATGAAGTTCGGTCAGGGAGGAAATGAGAGTGCTCACGCTTATGGACCTGATTGTTTTCGGACTAGTGCTGCACCATGCGGCCAATTGATGAGTTTAATTAAGATTAGAATATATAAAAACCTATAAAATTGGGGATCTGCTTTGCTCGATCGTAATTTAGTATATAAATTAGAATCTATGTACTTAAATTTAAAGCTAGGGATCTGCCCTGTTTAGTTACACACTAGCATAGACAAGAACCGATTGAGTTACATGTTCGAATGAATCGATTTAATTGTACGGTTCTACTAAAAATTTCATATCTACTTTTCTATCCGAGATAGACAAATATGAGAATGACAAAGTCAAGCAATAATGAAACTAATTGTAAGTTGTCTAAGAAAAAGAAATTGATTGTTTACTATATTTTTTTTTTAGAGAAGAAAAGAGAATATTTCCTTTCAAACAATTATGTATTAACGCAATAATTTATTTTTCCACACATCATTTAGATTTAACATTAATCCTTGGAATTTGACATGTCAATTGTACTGGCAGGAATATTTTTTCATCGTCGCATGGAATCAAATATTCCTTTTCATTAGTATGATGATGCTTGTTGAAACGAATTGAACGAAAATAGGGATGACATATTTCTATATCTTTCTAATATAGGAATCCATTGGTTCAAAATCTTTGGGTTTTTACAATTTGGTAGTTCTAACCTACTGTATAGTTTACTTTAACGTGATAGCCATTTAAACGATAAATTTGATCATTTACTTAAACACATATTGTGTTCAGAATAACGAAACATCGCCTCACTATCAATATATAAATCGACTTGTCACATAACATTTCGAATAA